GTTTTCGAGAAAACCGAGTTCAAAGTTGAAACTTCGATCTCTTTTTGTACGATTACGGAAGCAAATTTTTTTATGAGACTTCGTTTCACTGTTTTAAGGTATGATGTTCAATCATAAAATGTACTTATTTCAAGAAACAGAACTTTTCTTTTTCTATAAAACAGATTCGTTCGATTTTTAGTTAAACCGATCGCTTTCTTTGACCGTAAGAGCTAGCATGTTGAAACTTACTATTTGCACATAAAAATTGTTGGTACACATCTTGAATTAAGCAATTTTTCGGTTTATGAACAGTTCTCTTGATTTTGACCATTTACCTAAAAACTTTTAGCTTCAATATTTCGAGTATGGTAACACCATACTGCATAATTCTTTCACTAATTTAATTCTCTACTAATTAATAACTCAATTTAGCTCAATAACTTTCCATAAACGTCTTTGGGTCATGATTCTTGGGTTTAAAATGCATGAGAAACAGATTATTAAACAAAACAAACTCATCTTAACTCATAGTTTAGTAAATAAAGCAATTTTCTGGTTAAACGTTCAAGTCAAATGCAAAGATTAATGCCAAAGGCTTGAACATTTTCGTAAAGAGTTGAAACTTGGTGGGTTTGTAGGGAAATGAAAACTGAGTCCATAAGTACTATTATATATTCAATTTGATAGACAGTTTTCAAGAAAATCGAGGTCAAAGTTGGAACTTCGATCGCCTTTTGTAAAGTTGTGTGACCAGATTTTTACTTGAAACTTACTTCTCCTGATGATAATTTTGATGGCTAACGAGTAAATGCACTTATTTTGAATAATAGCACTTTTATTTTTCTGTAAAACAGATTAGTTCGACTTTCAGCTAAACCGATCACTGCCTTTGACCATAAAAGATAATGAGCTGAAACTTATACTTCGTGCATAAAAATTGTTGACTCACATTATGGATTGACTAGTTGTAACAGTTTGAGAACAGATCTCATGATTTTGGCCTTTTACCTAAAAACTTTGAACCTCGATATTTCGAGAACGGTAGTGTTTACAATCATCAACCATTCACCAATTCAATCCTTTTCTACTCAATATGTCAATGCAATCTAAAAACTTTCCATTGGTGTACTTGGACCATGATTTTTGGGCTTTAAATGAGCGAGCAACAACTTATTTAACAAACAAAACTCATATAAATGCACATCTTGGTAAATAAACCAATTTTCTGGTTAAACTTAAAACTGAAATGCAAAGAGTGCTGGTAAAGGCTCGTACATTTGGATCAAGAGTGGAAACTAGATGGACTTTGTAGGGACATTAAAACTAAGTCCAATGGTGCCATTAAACATTTCATCTGATGTATAGTTTTTGAGAAAATCGAGGTCAAAGTCGAAACTTCGATCGCCTTTTCTTCAGCTATGAAAGCAGATTTTTTCACGAAACTCGTTTCACTGGAGTAACTTTCAATGATCAACCAGAAAATGAACATATTTTGAGAAATAAAACTTTTCTTTTTCCGTAAAACAGTTAAGTGCGATTTTTAATTAGACCGATCGCTTTTTGTGATTCCTAATGCTAGCGAGCTGAAACTTATTATTTGTCAATAAAAACTGTTGCTTCGTATCATAGATTAAATACTTTTTTCAATTCTTCAATAGTTCTCTTTTTTTGGCCATTGGCCTTAAAACTTGGCCTCGATATTTCGATAATGGTTCAAACTAAATTCATCATTCTTTCACCAAACATTAGATTTCATTATGGGATATAAAAGTATCTGACTGAATACCGAATGAAATTTGAGCTAATTCATTAAATAAGATTAGTGTTTTGTAATCATTCAACTTACTATTTGACACTTCATCCGATGAACAGTTTTTGTAAAAATTGAGGTCAAATTTGAAACTTCGATCGCCTTTTGTTCAACTATGGAAGCAGATTTTTTCATGAAACTCATTTTTATGAAACTTATGTAAATTTTGATGAACAACCAGAAAATGGTCTTATTATGATAAATAACATTTTGTGTTTCTGCAAAACAGATAAAGTTCAATTTGCAGTTGAACCGATCCCATTCTAAGACCGTAAGAGTTAGAAACTTATGCGTGTGTAAATATTGGTACTACAAATCAATGACTCAAACACTTCTTTCGATTCATCAGCATTTTTCTTAATTTTGACAATGACCTAAAATCGTTGAACCTCAGTATTTCGGTAGAGGTATCACCTTCAATCATCATTATTTGGTTAAACATTGGATTTCATTATGGGCTATTATATGTTGAATCAGTTTCCGTAAATAACAAAAGATTGATGATCAAGTTAAGAAATCAATATTTGGTGAAATGGTTAAAATGTTAAATTGAATTGTCTTTGGTTTACATTGACAAACATGACTTGAAATTAACTTACTCATTATATTGATAGACACAAAAGGCTGACAATTATATTTGGACAACTTTCAATTGAAAGCGTTTAATCAAAAATGATAAACTGTCAGATGAAATACATCTTTACTCCTTGAATCCATTCAGTTTGGTGTGTCACTTGATGGTTTGAAAATGTGAACAGATGAACACAGATAATGATGGGGTTAACCTTAATCAAGCAAACCCTTGAATTGACTGCACAATCAAAGGTAATTTTTTTCTTTCATCTTTCATGGATTTTCCCTGAAATCATTTTGTCTGATCAAAAGTCAGACAATAAGGAAACAAAAGCCCAAATTGAGGGTAACAATAAAATATTGAATGAATGGTGAAAAAATGTTACCGAAGGAAAAAAAGAGTTTCATTCAATTGAACTAAAGATAGACTAAAAGGTACAAAATGATTGAAAATTTTACATTAAAATGAACAATCAAAAGCTTGAAACTGATCGAGAAGTTAAATTGTTGGAAGAAACAATTTAATTTCGTTTTCTTCTTCTTCTTCTTTCTTCAAATGTTAATCAAAACCAGAATTGGCAACAAGAATGTTAAAAGAGACAAAACCAGAATTTATTGAAATGTTATTGGGAATGTCACTGGGAGTTGAGGGACTTAAGGTCAAGTTGATGGGATAAAGCTAAACGGAACTTTCAGTTTCATTAGTTGATCTAATGATGACCCAAGGTGTATTAATGATTGTAATGATTTTGAATCTTTTACTTGGTTGTTCCCCTTCCAATCCATTGAAAGATGGAAAGGGATTTCATTTGATGAACAGTGATGATAACAATAAATGATGAAGCTGACAGGACAAAAAGATGCGTAATATTGAGGTTAGTAAAGATGAGAAACAAGAAATGAATCAATGAACCGATTTACAGGGTTAACTTTACTTTTATTGTTCCTCAGTTTTTTTCTTCTTCTTCTTCTTAACCATCATTAAGAGTTTACTGATTGTCGCTAATAAACTGTAAACAAGATCAAGATTGTTGATAAGCTATAGCCATGATCTTGATCTGTTAAGGATAACTGACGATAAAATATGATATGAGAATGATGGCGATGATAGAAGGCAAAATTTCTCACAAAAAGCAAACAAAGCTTCATGAAGAAGAGTATTAAGTGAAATCATTTGGAGCAACTTTTAACAACAAAGTAGTCGAAAGAATACAGAAAAGTCCAAAGACAACTCTTTAACATCATCATCATCTTTTCATCTTTTCTCATTTTCCTCTTCTTCTTCTTCATCATCATCTTTTCATTTCCACTAACCTTTGGTAGTTTAGTTTATGGCGTTACCAACGTCTTTCGAGTAAATCTAATGCAAGGAAATGTTCAACATTTTCATTTGACGATTTTACTTGTTCATCCTTTTACTGTTTCCTCTTCATCTTCCCTCATCTTTATCCTCGTCTTTAACATTCATCTTCAAGCTCATCTGTTCACGGTAAATTGGTTACAATTGTAAGAAGATGAGAAGAAAAAAAGATGAAGATAAAGATGACAAAATGATGACGACCAACGGAAACATTTTTCATGAAACAATGAAATTCTCATCTTTACAGCTTTTCTTTTACATTTTACATTTTTTCCCTTCTTTTTTCATCTTCATCTTCATCATCATTTTCATCATCATTCCCCACTTAACCTCAACTCAATCCAATTGAAACATTCAAGAGCAAATGCATATAATTTTCATTTTGTTTTCATCTTTTCTTGACTCACAAATCTTTCGTTTTTTGGTTTCTACTTTTTTTTCACTCTAAATTGATAAATTTGATTCTGTTTGATTGTGTTTTGATTCATTAAACGCATCTTTTACTTCATTCTTGTACTCTTGATTTCAGTTGATTATTACTTGTATCAAAATTACTGATTGGCTTTTTTTGCTTTGCTGTATAATAGCTTAATGTTTTTACTTTTTGTTTTGTTCCTTGTGTGTGTGTTTTGTAGTTTCATTGGATTCATTGAATAGCTAAAGAGGATCATCATTACTGAGTAATTACTTGGTTAGAGATTGAACAATAAAACTGAGATCAATAAACATTTGACATGAATGAAGATTGTAATGATGAGAGGAGGAAGAAGATGGTGAAAAATAGATTAAATAAAAAGACTATGAATGATGAGTAGTAAAGAGTTAAGCAAATAACAAAAGATATATCTTGATTGTTATCCGATTTACTTTCTATTTGTTCATTTTTCCTCTTCTTCTTTTTTTTATATTTCCCATTCAAATATAATCTTACAATCAGATTAATATGTTCAACACCTTTACGGTGTTTAATATGTTCATGTATACTGTTTAATCATGCAAACATATTCAATACAATGGTTATGTTATGAAAAGTAAATATTTTTTACTCTTCAACTTGTTCTTTTTTCCAATTATTGATTGGATTAAAGTGTTTTATTGTGTCTATTTTGATGAGCCCATGAGCTTTGAGCTTGTCCATATTCCATGGTTAGTTTTATTATTGTATATTGGTAATCAATTTCAACATTAAATGGTTAATTGATAATTTATTGTGATCAATTAAATCTCGCGCCTTAAGATTTAACGGTTTACTTTTGTCTCCCGCCCTTATCCTTGACAACGTAATCACATTGTATTGTTTGAATCGTTTGCCTTTTGGTTTGTTAATCATGTCTTTGGTTATTGTAATTTACTGATTGATTTTCATATAACCTTTAGACTTGTTTAACCTTAGAGTTGCTGTTAACCGCTACTTTTGTGATCAGTAATTTGACTTTAATCGTTAATCCATGTCATTTGTTAAGTGGTCATCTTGATACGAAAATTGGTACCTTAAATGTTGGTGTGTTTCAGTTGTGATCAATTGAGAAAAATGGTAAGTACAGTTTTACCGATTGTGATTTAATTCTGATAATTATCCACTCTATTTGAGCTGGTAGATGAACTAATAGTTTTATGCTTTTTCTTTGCAGAAGCCAATTTAAGACAATTGCTGGGATCTACAAGTGAAAAGACAAGCATAATTATTAGAAATGCCTTACCATGGTTTATCCACCAAACTTTCTTGTACATGAATGCCATAAATTTGTCTGGTCCAAGTAAAACAAAAGAGGAAAAATGGATTAATGCGGAAATATAGTGAATACAATGGAATTTCTAAATACAGGTTGATATCATGATGTGTTAAATAATGATTGCTGTCATCTGAGAAGATATAGAGCCTTGGACAAACAGGAAACCCAATTGTGTGCTGAATGGTATGAAATTTGTGCTTACCTTTTACATTTGTTCATTCGTATGTATATACTTGTTCGTTTCTTATTAGGAGAAGGAGTTTGTTTGCTCATTCTATTTATTTATTTATTCAATATTGTTATTAGTCAACAAATATTGTGTTAAAAGTGATCTTTATTCAACTTAAATTTTACCTCTTTCATCATGAAAGATAATTGAACCAGAATTTACTCCATTATCATCTTGAATCAATTTTTTCAGTTTTTCCACTTGTTTTTATTTTTTTCTTATCATTGGATCTTGTTACTTGAAACACTTTCAAGTTATTGATTTATCAAGTATGAACTTTTATTAAAACAAACAAGTGAACAAATAAAAAGTGATTTCAACATTTTTTCCCTCTACTTTACTGTTGTATTAATAATGTACTACTATTTGCAGGTCTTTTTTGCTGCTTTTCAAATGGTTGCAATTTAATTTAAAAGAATCATCATGCCCAGGTAACTCATATCGTACATGAAGTTCAAAATTAAATTATCCCAATCAACAGGTAAACATGTGTCGGTAATAAGATGATGATAATGGTGGCGATGGAACAGGAGAGAAATTCAATTTTTATTGGAAAAAATTGTTACGAGCAAATGGGAGTATAATTTTACTCCAACAATTTGAACATTATTTATTCAACATTTATCCTGATTCCTCATGAATTAAGGATTGTCAAGATGATAGTGGTAATGATAGTGTAAACTCTTACTCTGTAAGTACAGTTGCATGTTGTAACATTTTTCCCCTTTTATTTGAATATCAATGTTTGTTGATTGGGAAAAATGAAATGTAAATAATACAAATTTCAATTCATTCACGCATTTTTTTTCTCTTTTTATCGTTTAGGAAAAAAATTGGAATCAAAAGAGAAACTTGTTGGAACCTAAACTCAGTCACACAGCAAACAGCTAATTCAAAGAATCGTGTTGATAAAGATCCTGATGAATGGAGTAAAGTAAAGCAAAAATGAGGAGAGAAAATCCGCTAACAAAGACTTTACATGAACATTATTAAATTATCATGTCGAGTATTGTGTTTCCTTTTTTACAGCAACAATTTCAATCCCACCAACATTCAACTCAAAATTGGAAAATTCATACAATAGCTGCTTAGCTATTCAATTAAATTAAAACTCAGGCTTCGAGCAAGAATACAATATTTTTGGATGGTTGCAAGGTATTTATCTTGACTAATCAAATGGCAAATTCAACGAAAAAATCACATCTTTAATTACTCTAATAACATGTTCATCGCTTAATAATTCAAAATTGCTCTTTTCACCTGAAAAAAGTCAATTAGGATTTTAATTGAGTCTACTGTACACATTAATGATATCTAGATGGAGATCATTTTGCTTTACCCAATGGCTTGGTTAAATGTATTTTGAGGGATTTATATTTGATCTTTCCAATACTGGTCAAGCTGTTATTTTATGATAACTTTGGTCAAACAGCGATGACAACCTATTGACTGTTGTATCAACTAGGATAACCTGGAATAGTACACTAAAACAATTGGGATTCCAATGAATATTAAAACACCATTTCAATCACCATTTATTAGAAAATAATTTTATTATTAAATGGATGGACAATTGCTTTTTGTCATTTCAATACCAACAACAATAGCCCATTGTTTTATCAAGTTTGACAGTCAGTCATTTAAAATTAAATTATCTTGATTGAGTTTAAACTGGTAAACTGTCTATTCAGATGAAATTTTCTAGAAAACCTTTCCCATCTTTTTTTCACTTAAAAATTTGTCAAAATCAAGCCCAAAATTTGTTCCTCAAATGACAATGTAAAATGAACCAGATTTGAATCCAATCAAAATCAATGATTGTAGTTATCAATCACAAATATAGCGATTCAAAAACCCAATACCAACCAAAGATATATCAACATTAATATCGCAAAGTAAACTCGCTTTATCCATAAAGATGACAACCTTTTAAAGCAAACAAAGATCAACTCTAATTGCTAACCTCAACCACAAATCAGGTAAATTTAAGCCTCTTGACTCGAAAAAGTAAACCAATAAAGTGCCAAAAATGCGAAAGGTTAAAATTGATGTAATAAATGGAAAGTGAATTTTGCCAAACTATTAATAATAACTATTGAAAAAGCTTTCCATTTGAGGTTTAGTTAATGATTTTCAAGTTTCAATGGTTGTTATTAAAATAAAAGAGCATAAAAGGAAAATTAACAATTGAATAGGAAATATTAATATTTTTAATGACCATTTACAATTGTATTTTGGTAAATTGATGGTACAATTTGATCCCTGTAAATAAGTTGTTATCATATATTTTTATAATAGCATAATATTTTCAACTTTTATACACAAGGTTGTATTTTTTTTACAAAAAAATGAAGTCTACACCCGATGACAATAATTTTAACAATGATATAATGATGATGATGTTATGATGATGATAGAGTTACACTTACATTTGACATTTTGCTCGCCTAATTAGATTCAGCTTTGTTGTTCAACATGGAGTTGATGTTATCCTTACAATGAACAAGATGAAGTTGATGTGAAATACAAAAAATTTTTAAAACTCGTCCATCTGGTTGCACTGGTTCATGTCCATCTAGTGAACCCAGTCAAGTTGACTGTAAGCCTTGGCTCTAGCTTTAATCGAGTCTTGTTTTTAACAGTAAAAATTTAACTCTATTTTGGACAATTAAACCTTGTCTTGTGTTGAAGTGCTTAACACTATCTTTCACTTTAACCACCAACTAAGTGGTTGACCATTTTCATGTAACAAAAGTGCGCTTCTTTGAATATGGTGGAGCTGGCATTTCTTTATAATTACCGGTAATATCACCATCATCTGTGCACTCCCACATGACTCGTGAATAACATTGACAGGCTAAGATGAGAAGAAACAGGGAAAGTATCATTCCAACAATCACCAAGGCAAGTCTCATCTCTTCTTCCGTATAATTTCCGCCACATTCAATGCAAACTTTGATAATGATATTGTTGATGGGAATGTTGTTTTCCATGATGATCACCATTATCATAATCATGATAATAGGGGGAAAAAGATAGAAAAGAAAAAAGATTTTTTTCTCAGAATAAGATTTAATGAACAAGATAAGTTACATGAAACGTACACAGAAATGAACAAAAAGTGTTACTTCCTATTCCCTTATCTCTGAATAATCTCAGCTCATTCAGATCTGATAAGCTTTCAACACTAAATAATCGTTTAGTTGCTATCGAATTCAAAGAAAAAGAGTTTTGACTCAAGATAAAATAACGAATATTGAAATATTTCCATGAAAATTTTCGAAAAAACTTCGAGTTTCAAAACCAAAGTAATTTTTTGAAATCAACTTGAAAAAAGCATCAAGAAAAAAGAGTTTCAAGCGAAGAGAAATCTCCGAGTTTCGGATTCGATCTTAAACTTCCAACCGAACAAACTTTCTGAAAATTTAGGAACTGAATCTGTTGATTCTATCAATTCTATGGAATTTGATTCGAAGCTTTTATCAAAATTTCAAGAACTGAATATAAAATCTAATACTTGAGCGAACCTAAGCCTAATGAAATGAAATATTTAATGAGTCAAAATATGCAACATTTAAGCTGAAAATTGATGTTTGCTTTTTTCGTTAATATGGTGATTCCAAGTTTCACATATTGAAATGCTTAAGTCAATGATAAATGACGATCCATCAAGATTGAAACTGAACTAAAGCTACTTATTCATCAGCTTATTAGCTTTCGATTTATGCCAAAGTGAACAATAAGTAAACAATTTATCACAAATTTAATTAAGCAAAGCAACTTTCCTTTTCACCCAACTTTAACTTAATTTAGCCTTTCAATTAATCGATGAAACAGAAAAATTTTAGACCAAAAATCAGTTTGAAAAAAGAAAAAAAGAAAATGAATTTTCAATATTTAAAAATGAATGAAGAGTAGGCTTAAGATATCATCTGTACCAAATCAGATACTAAAATCCAATTACAAATCAATTTGAACCATTAATTATATGTCAACATTGGTTTTTACCCAGCAAATTGACATGTAAAGTAACCATTAATCAAACTGTGATTCAATTAATGAATTGAGAAATCATTTGAATCAGCATTAAACCTGTGATTTACATGACTTTGAAAGTGAATGAAACTTACCTGCTCTGTCACCTCCACCAGCACCAATAACAGCTACACCTTTGGTTAAAACTTGTTTCACTGATTGAGACAACAGTAAAAGGTAGCAAGGAATGCATTTGATTAACATTGTTTTTTTTGCTTTAATCAAATTAGACCAACAAAATGAACAACAATCAATTTGTAATCAAAATGTAAACTTGTAATAAGTGTAACAAAACTTGGTTCAACTTGTCATTTAACAAAACAATAACATTTACATTTCAAGTATTGAATTTGAAGGTAAAAAAAGCACATTGACTGGTTTAGTGATTAACAATTTGTTGGTTGTTGATTAAACATTTTTAATTGAAAAAAATCCAAAAGGAAACAAATTAAATTGTAAAGAGGTAATTTGGTTTGATGGTTGGAATGATGATTAACATCCATTATTGGATACATCACTTTATGTTATGAATATCATTTGTGATGAGTTTACATTGGCTTTACAGTTTCTTACGTCTTCAACATTTTCATATGTAAACATCAGTCGAGAAAAGAGTCTCTTGAAGAGCTGAAGGTTGACTTGGAGGGTGAAGGTGAACAAGACAAAGTTTTCATTGAGACAGAGCACATTACGAGGGTGAAACCTAACTAATCCGTAATGGTTCAACCTATTTAGTGTGAGTATCAAGAGAGATCTCAGTTGACTTGAAGGGAGCACTTCTGCTCATCCCATCTTCATCCACAAAGGATGCAAAAAACTTTTAGCTCAACAAATCAATTGAAAACTTTTTTTCTCTCTTCTCTTCTCATCATCATTTTTTCATCATCTTGAGCCATTTGAATGTTGCTCTTAAATGTGAACAAAATTTTGAGTGTGAATGTGAAACCAGGAGTTTGTTTCATTGATGAAAACACTCAAAATTTAACCCAAAAAATAAAAGTGAAAAAGTCATCATTACCCTGATTCGTAATGATTGAACTTGATTGAACATTTACAACGTGATGATACACAACTCTGGCTAATCATCATTAAAACTTTTCACTCTCTTTCCCAATGAATCAAAGTATTTTCTGTTTCTTTTTCTTCTTCTTTTTAATTATTTCATGTTATTTGGATGATGAAGAGACACACAAAAAGACTGATTAACCAGATGATACATTGTTTTTTTTGTATTGAACAGAAATCTTTGTATAATGATGAGCATTACCAGTAGGATGAGGAACAACCGCCTTTACCATGTTATCGTGTCATATTACCATGATGGGAAGCTGAATCGTCAACTGTTCAATCATTGGATAAAGTTAACAATTAGATTTGATCAACTTTATTTATTCGTAAACAGCCTGGGAGGGTTAATTTGAGTCAACAATTCTCAATATAACTGTGTGTTTGTAAACAACTTTGGCTAATTTCATTTCTACTCTTGAACTGTTATCAAGATACATTCACAGGGGTTGATTTTTATTGAATCCGATTGATAATGATGATCATGAAAAGGAAGTTCAATGATAGGGTGGGAGGCATGAGAAATGAAATTTGCTAGATAAACATGAATATTTATTTCTGATAAACATTGATCACTTTCCTCCCAACAGATAATCAGATTATCGCCATTAGAATCTATTGCTGATTTTTTCCATTTTCATTTCTGTTCATTTTCTTTTTTCTGTATTTGCAATTTTTCTGTTAACCTCTTTGACTCAAAGATATAGTTATAAATTAGCCTGAGTGAAATGGCCATCATGAGAGTAGTAATAAAGATACACAAGATAGCACACTTTCGATTAAAGATAATTGATTTATAAATTCAATGACTTATTCATTATTTTCGCCTTGAATTTTCAACCATCGATAGCTCAAAAACAATTAAAAAAAAATTCCAAAACCATGTTTAGTGAAACGACTTTTCACCTCATAAAAATTAAACGTCTGGTGATGATCACTTCTCGTGTTACATCTACTGACCTACTCTTGTAGGTGTTGATCTGATTAAGGATAACGAACGATTATATCACGATCTACTTCTGAACTTGATGAAGGGGTGCATATGCTTGTGTTTGCTATATATGACAGTGTTTTACAAATTGATGTAGCACGTAATATCTTTACTTATTACAGATGGGCTTGACATCATTTGATATCGAAAGTTATCTTGTAAAGGAATTTAGGGAATCGATAAGCTTCCACTTACCTAAACATTCACCCACTTATTAATAAAATTGAGTTGAAGTGTTGCTCAGTTATTAAATGTGTCAAGGTAACTAAAAAATTTGGAAGCGCTTTCAACAATATTTAGCGAAAGGAAGCGAAAAATATACTTTAAAAGGATTTTTGCTCCATCCGTATTGCAACGGAAAAGAAGCCTCGTTAGTAGTCAGTTTGGTGTTGGAAAGTCGCTTGGTTAAGTGATAATTTTATACATTGTTGCCTAATGATCAACCAGGGTAAACAGTGAAAGATAAAGATAATCAATTTGAATTAGTTTATCATCTGTTTACTAACTCATTGGTGTGAAGGGAATGATATGCAAGTAAATGACGACTATTATCATTATATTAATATAACAATGTGAATAAGTATACTTTGACTGACAGGTAAATATATCTTTTGACTTTGATTATTTTTGCCAATTGTTTTTAATATAATAAGTAGATAAACATTGAGATTGTTGATTTGTTTTTCCTGATGAACAATCAATATGCTTTGACCTTATTAACCATCTGATGGGTTGACTCTTATTGTATTGATGAGTTTAGCTTAACTTGGGCAACTTAGTTTCCTCCTTGAGGTTAAACTCTTGATACACTTTACTTGATGCAACTAATGCGTGTTCAGAGTACAATGTTGAGTTTCAATGTCATCACATTTTTCATTCACATCCTTCTCATGCAGCCATTATCATTACCATGATACTTCTTAAAATGATTACTGCATTAACTTGAATTAAAGACTGAAAACTTGTTAGTCCAACAGAAATATGCCTTTTTATTTACATTATTATTTACAAGTCTAATGAGTTTATTTTCATCTCTTCTTAGATTCAACATTTAACGAGTTTTTAATGATTCTAAATTATTACAATCATTACTACTTCTCACTTGAATAATTGTACATTTTATTTGCACAAACAGTTCGTAAGACTAACCATGCCAAAATCAGATTAACAGCAATTAACAATCGCAACATTTGCAACAACACTTCATTACTTAGGAATGAAAAAATATCTCAGAAACAAATGGTAAGTTCAAGTTATCTAATCAAATTAATTGTTCCATCTGTCCAGTCAATCAATTTAGACTGAAACAATTAACAAAATTGACTTGGAAAACTTATGAATCATTAAAATTTCCATTTCTGGGAGTAAAGTTATTAACAGAGAAAATGTTTGGCTTTGCTGGGAGTTGCAGTACTGGGAGTGAAAATTCTGGGAGTGAATTTTATCGACTGTTGAAACTGCTCGTCCAGCACATTCATGATACGACTCAGCTGGAAATTTAGTTGAACTAGAAAATTATTGATTAATCAAAATTTTTCACTTGGTCGCAAGTCTGTAAACAGAAGTTTCAATTTTGTCCAAACTGAAATGATAAATCAATGATTTTACTTTGAAAGTGTTTAAAGTGACTACAGACAGAGCAAAAGGTTAAAGTAAAAAACTTTACCTATCATTATTTCAATTCATGTCGATATTTTTTGGGACTCTCTAATAGCCTTCATTTACATTTTTGTATGAATCCATCCAGGGATTCCTTTCACTCCCACTGACCATCAGAAAAACTATCGACCATTTTGTTTCTCTCAATGTACATCATGCACATCAATTTCATGTCCATGTTTCAGTTTTTTTTCTGATTACTCTTGTTTTCCATGTTGAACAACATTAGAAAATCGAAGGAGAGAAAAAAAATGTTAACAATTGTTATTGATATTTTACTTTGATTCATTTGCAAGTCAAATTGGAAATACCTTTGACATTTGGTGAACTAAAAATGTTGATCAACTAACTCAAATCTGTTGTGCTCAATCATTAGCATTTGTTTCGTTTTTCATTTTCAACATTATTATTTTGTTCGTCAATATTTCGATTCTAGTTTGTAATGAAATCGAACACCTTGTCGACTGCAAGTAAACTCCAGGTTAACCCCTTTTCAGCTCGTGTTCAACCCCCTGAAGAGTTTTGTGAAAAGAGCTTGAGTTATCGAGTCTACAAATATTTCCTCTTCATCATTTTATCCTTTTTCATCATTTATCTTGTCGCCGAACTTTTTACCGTTTTATCGCCAAACGAACTGCACGGTAATACCAATGATTTAATTCCTGGTCTTCCCAACACCACCTTACCTGAACAACCCAATCGAGGAATCAGTTATTCTCAGTTAATTTGGTCCATCTCCATGTTGAGTGTTAAAGGTTTGACCTTCACCGCCGTTTTTTGGGAAAATTTGAAACTCGTTTATGTTTCCCTTTGCTTTACGCTATTGTCACTTGTTGCTAATGTTTTATTCAAAGCTTACCTGCCTGTCATCAGTGAAGCACTGGTTACAACCTGTCTTACCTTATTTGCGTGGAAAACTCACAAAGAATCGAAAAATGGACTCGATTTCAAGTAAACTTCATTTCTAATCCAATTCAATCCTTCAATTGCTCAACTCAAAATGATTGCCAATTATTGTTAAAAGTTTACTCTGATTTTGTAATAAACTTTTTCAGTCGAAATTTGATAAAATTAAAATTTTCTTCATGACTTTCAACTGAATCCTGAATTCTGTTCAGTATTGACTAACTTGCGCCATCTATGGATTTTCAGTGAGCTTTGAAATCTGAAGATTCTTTGTGGAAATGGAAATTGAAGAAATAAATTTCTCCACTTTTGTGATTTAATTTTATGCATTAATCAATTTCAACTAAAGACTTTGTAAAAACATTTCTTGTTGCAATTATTTTTCATATTTGAATTTGATTTGAAATAAAAAGTTGAACGGCAAAGGTTTTGTTAAAAATAATGAGTTTCATTGTCAGGTAATGCTTATGCATCAGTATTCAATATTATAATACAACAACGATATGATAGTCAATAATGCTGGGAATCAAATGGTAAACCATTGATGGTAATAAAACAATTGTAATTTTGTCCAAAAGTTAATTCCTTTCTTCGCTAATCAAGTTGAACGGCGTTCAAAGGACGTGTAAATTGTCGCATGATTTTGACTTTTTGAGAACAGCTTTGTTCAAAAAACGTTTTATAATGTTGGGCTTCCTGCCATTGGGTTGACCTGAATCAAAGTAAATAAACGAAAAAAAAGGTTAAACATTTTCCATTATAAATGCTTTGCAAACTTACATCTTTTAGAGTTTATCTTCAAATTTATTTGAGCTCCAATCCCAGTCAGTAAAAAGTCAACATTGTGAGATATTGTACAGCTAGTTTCAATGTACTTGCAGTTGTTCATCATGGCAAGTTGTCTTCCTTCTGTAAGTCAACATGATAATGATAAGTTAATGGTTGATATTAGATTAACCATGGACAGGCAACGAAGAAAAGACTGACCCTTTTGAACAGTAAATGCGCTTTTTAATTTAGGTTATTGAGGTTGATTGATTGAAATTTTCAGTCTTTTTTTTTGTTTACAATTTCAACTTTCATCTTGTTACTGAAGCTTTTTTTGCTCTCACTTTGCTAATTAACTTTTGTAAACATTTGGAAAGAAGTAAAAAAAATGTTTTCCAATCTGGATTCTGTACAGAACTGAAACTTCTATTGACAAAGTAATGAAGAGGGAGTTGAACAATGCCCTGGAAAGCTCATCAAGTCTTCACTTTTAAGCGTGTGTGAAAGCTACAATGACCCTGTAATATACCCTGGAAATTATTATCAGTGCATATCGATTGTCATTCCAAGTTGATTTGGAAGAAACATTATGCAAAATAAGCGCAAAGCGAAAGCATTTTTTCATTCATCTCTTAGATTCGCAAAAATGAAAATTTGACAGTTGATCGTTCCAAGAATCATGTGAATCTTGAAGTTTGAAAAGTTATTGCATTAAACATCTAATTATCTTGATCAGTCTGAAGATCATAAATTACTTGATTCTAGTTTGGTTAAGTCAGCAACTTTTCAACTTCTTCCAGTCGATAGTCAATAAATCAAGAGTTTATTAGCTTTGTTCATCACTTTTAAATTACCTTGTTTGGATACGATCCTACTTCGAACCAGGTCAGTTTTATTGGCAACCAAAATAATTGGTTTAGTATCAACGTCGTCCCATTTGAAAATTTCATCGATGATCTTTTTCGCTCCTTCAAACGATTCTCTGGTAGAAGTGAGAGAAAATTAGTTTAAAGTGAATTGCACTTTTCGATGATTGTCTTGTTAATGTTAGACTTACCTAGAGTTGACTCCATAGACGACTATGTAAGCATCGGGTTGATAAAAGTTTAACGGTGACTGAGGATAACAAGAGTGCAATGAGGTTGCTTCGATGAAATGTAAATAAAGAGCGGGCTTAATTTCATTTGATCGTTTAGTTGGATTGTTTGATCGGTTTTCATCTTGATATTTGGTTCGGTAGTAAGCGTAATCACGGTCAATTGAATCGTCTGTTTGTTCAATGTAATCCTCAAATGAGCGTATTAAACTTGTTTTTCCACAACTGGTTGAACCAAGAACCAAAACTCGACATTTACTATCTGTTTGAGCCATTAGAGCAAAAGAAAAAACAAATTAATTTCGATTGTTATACAAAATTATGTGCACTTTTAGCAGAAATCAAATCAACTTTAGTCTTCACCATTTCCCATTTGATGGATTTAACGAAAGCTTTCAGTCTGTTCAGACATTAAATATTGGTAAATCCATAAGATTATGAGGCTTTACCGACAATCGAACACAGAATAAGGTTAAGAATAGATTATAATTTCATTTTACCAGAGCTTTAATCGAAGAAAACATTACCTTCAATCTGTACCTTTTTGCAAATTTCAATTAAATTTTACTTTTCAATATTCAAGTGTTATTAGAATGTTTGCAGTATTAAGTGAGCTCTTCGGATTGAGCTTTAAACCAGGCATAAAAATGATTGATTACATTGACTACCTTCCTCATTAATTGTCCATAAAACTGCTGATTTCAATTCCTCAAAATGGTTTAATATTAGTTCAAAATGAGCTTCAGCAAATGCATGTTTCTCAAAATGGATTTTGAAGGTAAAAGAAGCTTTTGGTTTCAACAATTAAAAGATTTTTTGCAATAGGTTTTGTCTGAAATGAGTAAAATTAAGAAACGGAAAGCTTGTTTACAAGAAAAGATGAAAATATCGAATTGATTCAACATTAAATTGCTGTTAAAGCGAAATTTCAACGATTAGTTGACATGAAAGGCCAAAGACTTATGTAACTACTTAATATTATTGATGGTAATTGCGTGTTTGATATAATTGTCCGATCCTTATTAGCTGTTGACTATTGATTGACCATTAAATGGCTCTTTTGTACTTTGTATTTTGAGCTTTATTGAAACATTTTCATGTCAGTTTATTGATTGAAAACTAATTGTTTAGACCATTAAGCAAAGTTGAAAGTAAACATTGATCATTTTATTCAAATCAATGCACTATTTGTATTGTACAATGTATTTTTAGCTTGTTTATCGTTTCTACCATTAAAATGTATTATTTTCAGCTTAAAACTTGCTTCCACTTATTTAGCTGAATAATAATAGCGATTGTTATATGATTATTTTTATTGCGATTTAAGTTTCTTCTCAAGGTTGACTTTGAATCCTCAATTCCCAATCTATTTATACACATCAATCCATGAAATAACAGAAAAAAGAATCGATTTTACTCCCTAAAAATAGATTAATTTTTTCTCTTTTCCTCAACCATTTTCACTGTTTAATCATTTGTAAACATTGAACAACAACAGGCAAAACAAGTTGAATCGTGAAAACAACTTGTGTACAATGCTGAACAGAGATTCAAAACAATGCCGGATTGAATGATTAAAAGTATCTGATTGAATGGAAAGCAATGCTGATAGATTTCATTCATTGCCTTTTCAGGCAAAAAGTTACGTTGAAGCAAAAAATGTAATTTATTTTATGTTCCAATGTAAATGTTATTACATTGTCGTCACATCCTGAAACGTTTCAATCGCAATGTGACTGTTAATACTTTTGTAACAGGTCATTTCTTGTCTTATAAGAGATACAATGTACTTCAAGCATGAAAACAATAATCCATTTTCACGTGCACATAAATATTGTCTAAACAGATCTAAATTGACAATAAATTTTCTCGGTTATCGGTTTTTCCAGCAATCAATTACAATTAAAGTATCTTTTGCAAAATGAATTACGTTCGTGTTTGCATTAGAAAACAATCGAAACTTTTTGTTTTCTCTTTGAACAGTAGAATCAATCGAATGAATCGAATGAATCCAAAAACTGCTCAAAATGCAAACAAAAGGCAAGGTTGAAACATTCAAGAAACTCTCATGAAAAACAATTCAATCGTCGATTTATGCTGTTTAAGTGTAATGAAGTTAATGATTTTGTCTCAACGTTAGAGGCCTAATCAGGGGTGAAGCATAACCTAGCCAGTGAGACCTTGCAGGTTGACTTGAGTATGTTTATGGCTCATTGATGCCAATGAGTGACAAGTTTTTGATCGAAGCTCAAAATTGAATTACCAACTAATAGCTTATAGCATTTTGTCTGCTCAGACTGGTTCATCTGTACTCAGAAAATTGATGAATTGAATTTAATGTGAATAGAAAATAAAATGAGGAAGGAAAATAAAATTTTGACTGAATATGAGTTCGACATTTTCATTGGATTCAATTTGTAAATCTGGAGGGTTGTAAAATGATTGAAAACTTGTCCTTTGTTTTGTCAAGTTGACAATTCGTCATGTAAATGTTAGTAAAATTTGATATGATTTCAAGAAGGCAAGAAAAGGATTGACAACTTCCTGAGCCAATAGTCTAGATGAAACGCATGACACTAGGTTTGACAAGAGGATTGGTAAAGGGTTTGAATAATGCTGTTGAGTAACAGTTAAACAGTAAATAATATCATCATGATCATGACATAATCATGTTACCCATCTTGATCATTACCAGCACAACCAAGAAAAAATCCTTTCTCTTTTCCCGTAACTATTCTTAGTACATTTAAGTGTTAAACTTTTCCAACTGAATGAATCACTTTACGATGCAATTTACCTCACCAATTAGTCAAACATCATTAACTCACAATTAGCAGACAATTGTAACATCAACAATGAGCCCTTTTGATTCAACAAAAGGATTTGGAGCAAATGAAACAAAATGTTTTCACGAAAAACAAATGATTTAACCTTTTCTGTTTAACAGTTGATTTGAGTTTAAAGTGCATTAGAAGGTAAAACTTACGTTCATTGTTGGTGCTATTGTTGGCATCGTTTGTGTCATTGGTTTTGGCATTGGTTGAGTGTTTATTGCCATTTGAATTGAATTGGGTTTTTGTTTCTTGGGAATCATTTGAGATCATAATAGTGAAAGGTAAACTTGTATCAGGTCGATTGATCTTGTATTGATAGTATTTAACAAAGTCAGTTTCCGTGTGGTTACGTCCATTTTCAAGGGAAGACGGAGTCGATGAGACACGCCTGGAACGGAAACTTGGAGTTGAACCGATTGAACTGAAAGAACTGTTGTTACTATTACATGGACTGATACCGTTGGTTAAACTGGTTATACTGGAGGTTCCATTGATGTTGCCTGCATTTGGATTTTTCATTGACTGACATCGACGAACCGGATTCAATTTACGTTTAGTTGAACTATTGTACCGACTAAAGGAAGAACCTTCAAAGGATGGCGGCGATTTACCGGTTGGAGTGGATGGACCTGTACTTGGAGTTGAAGGTTGAGAGGCTGAGGTTGATGAAGAAGAGCTACGTCGACTATCAGCCGACATGGCCAGTTTGATTTTAGTAACCAGTTTGACTGATTATAAGTACCTTTGGTACTTGCAAAAGTAAACAATTAACAAAAGTTGAGAAGTGAATGTCAGCAAGAGAGTCCACAAATTGCGTTAAACTTTCAGTTAAACTTGGACCAGGAAAGCACAGAATGCAGAATGAAAATTGAACGGAAAACTTTGATTGTTTGTTGAAAGATTATTTAACTAAAGTAATAAAGATTGATTTAGTTTCAAGAAAAGTTTACTATTAACTGTTCAGCTTTACAGTTGATTATGATAAGGAATATGATGAGAGATGAAGTTTAAGCATTGAATGTACATTAGACTTTAGTTGCTTGAATTCATGCTCAGCCAACTGCTTTTACACTGACTCAATGCAAGATTTGTCTTTCAACTTTTCTTTCATCTTTCTTTTCATCTCTTCACATCTTCATCTCGGCAGAATGCTAAAATTATATTTCGTTGGTATACATTTTCATCATCTTGTTTTGTCTAACAGCTAAGTTACCGGTTGATTACGATTTCTTAGGAAACTCTTGTCATGTGAAACTGTTTACTCATAATCCACAGAATCGTCTTTATCCTCTCTATCATCAACATCATCTTACTCTGATTAACTTGAATTAAATGGGCAAATAAACAACAACAAGTAAAGCAAAGAAATCATTTTCACCTTTTTTTATGGATCGTTAATTGGACTGAATCAACGAGATTATCAATACAAATTAGAGCACTTTAAAATGTACATTTTTTGGCATTCAAATGATCTTTTCATTGTAAATTTGTTTCATCAAAATTAACCAGAAAATTAACCAGAATTTAAATGGCAATTCTGATTGAATAAAGATTTCAATTTTAACCCAATTTTTGTAACATTTTGTAAAGTAAACTTGCATTTGTAAATTGTAGTTGAAGTCATTTCCATTGAGGAATTAAACATTTACCTTTTGTTCAACTGTTTACATAATTGTCATTGCTTTTTTGATTACATTAACTCCCAGTAATAAATTAACTGATTGAAGTAAGAAATTAATCTCAATTAAACTTTGCAAGCTTACAGTCTTGAATAAAGGTTAATGTACTTTTTGGTTTAAGCTTTCACTTTTTGGCAGTAAGACTTATGTCTTACTAAATGTTGATGATGAAGATGATGATGATTGTGGATGAAAATGATGATAATCATAGACTTTTTTTGACTTTGCTTTGCAACAAACTAATGATCAAGTAGTACACATTTGATGTTCAAAGAGACAAGCCAAAACGGTTGGTTAGCTTGGGTTTGGATTGGCTCAATGTTGAGGAACAAGAATCACAGTTTTTCTGTATTATCTGTGGTTGTTGGCAAGTAATGAATGATGAAAATTGATGATTAACACAAAAGAGGTAAAACTGATTTATACGGAAATGATGAATTTCGATGATTGAAGTTGATTTTAATCAACATTTCCTTGTTTTACTCACATTACTTTGTTTGTTCGCACTCGAACAGTCAACAATTGAAATTATTACAAAAAGTTTTCACCAATCTTCATCATTTCATCCTTTTATTATGCAAAGATCTTACATTTGTATCAATCACAAATTTACAATTGAAATTGGAAACAATTGATACCAATGAATGACGCACATTGACTCAATGATTATTCACATTTTTCTCGTTTTATTGAATTGCTTGTAATGTTACAATAATATTTCAAGACTATTTTAAGGTTTACTTCAATCATTACAATTGCTAATATCGACAACATTATAACATGATTACAATAAATAATATCAAATGTATTGTGAAGCAACATTTTACGAAACTATTGTTGCTGTTTTTGTTGACTTTTTACCTTTGAAAAGTTCAGATCAATTCATTTGTCAACAGTTAGATTTGTTTATCATTTTGATTGATCAAAAATCAGGTCAACTGCTAATTTTAACACATCAAGAAACTCAATGGATTTTAAATATTTGCAACTCCAATGATAACAACAGTTAGGAAATGATTTATTGTTTTGATAGTTCAACCTTTCGAGCCTATTTGATTGTTAGTGTTAGCAAATTTCTGGTCTTTAGACTGCTTTCAATTGATATTTAAGTATCTAAAAGGTTACCCTAAATTTGAAACATTTAATTATGTTCACCAGAAAAAAAAACACAACTTTTGTAGGTTATAATAATAATGATGATGGCAAGTTGTTATGCATCTTGTACATTGTTAGTTAACCCAATTAAGCGAATCCATAAGAGTGAAAATTGAAGATTGCAATATGATGATGAAGATGGTGGAAATGGTAAGCGATGAAGATTAGGGCGCAAAAAAAGTTCAGTGTGAGCTTTGAAATTTAGGCCAACACACTAAAGATATCAACCAATTAAAGAAACTATCTTTATTCACAGATGAAAATGAACCAATTTAGACTCAATTGACTCGTCTTTTCTCGTCACTTTGATAATGGAATACAAAATTTAGTATCAAAATACATTCAATTTCAATACTAACATGAATGAATTTTTTTCCTCATCAAGGTTCTCCTTCTTGTTTGTCTTTACACTGAACATATTTACGACAATTCTTACTGTTTTCCCATGATGATGAATCTTAATTTATCTCTTATAATCTCTTTATCATGTTGATCATAATCTTGCTTGAAATACAACTTCAAGGCTCACTAGGTATACAGGTCAAATGATGAATCCATCTTATCATCAACAACAGCAACATCTTCATCTAATTTAACCTCAAACATTGAAAACTGTATTTTGCGATTTACTCAAGTTTTCCTCATCATCAGCATCTTTCTAGTTTGAGGACAACTGAGACAAAAAAAACATTTTCAAGTATACAAATGATGTGATTGTTATCGGCCTGAATTGGCATTATTAAGTCCTCAAGGTAAAACCTGTGAAAATGAAAAACATGAGATTTTAATTAGTCTGAATCATTCATTAATTATTTTCATGCAAAAATGTATGTTAAGCATTATGGTTTGAGAATCTATTGATTGATATTGTTTCCAGCAACTATTGGCAACTTTTCCCACTGTAACTAGGAAGCTATAATAATTGGTGAAAATAAGTTTAGACAAATGGAAAGGGTTACCACTGATGGAATGACAGTCAAAAAGTTGATTAGCTCAATCTTTTGTAGTTACTCTCGTAGACCTCTGAACAATAGTTGAAAGCTAAGAATCGCTTTGCACTGCATTTCTTTGGGATACATTCATCGATAAGTTGAGTGTATATCCATTGTAATCACCGAAAAGTATTAAATATCTTTACGTTCATTTTAAGGACTTAATGGACAAGATTAAAGGAAGCCAGAGTCTAGCAAATTCAACCTCAGCCATGTTAGGAGTAGTTTTTAAACTAATTAAATGGATTAAGAGAGTGCAGAGTCCTCGTTGAGTAAGTCCAATTCTTGGTCGGTTCAAACTTGCAAAACAATAAAAACTAACCAAAGTTTTTAACTTTTTCATACTTGAAAGTTCTTTTGTTTAAGTTATATGTTATATGTTATTGTACTTTTATACAGCTTTTGAAGAAAAATAAATCATGGGTCGACCAGTAAGATCAGGTCGTGATCGCAGCCGATCGGTTTTATCAACTCGTGCTGAATTCAATTCTGAGCAATGTACGGAAAGACATGAATGTGGATGTCGTCCCGCTGGAATGACCGACAAAACTCGCGATGATTTTTGTGAAAATCGTACTGCTACCGTCATCAAAGTAGAGCCAGGCAACGCTGATAATGGAAACCTTCCCCCAATGAAAAATGAATTAGTGCTTTCATCGGATCGCGACGCCAAATCTGAAAAGGACCCCAATCTTTATTATTGTACTTATTGTGGTGATCCATTTAGGGGTCAATGGAGGAAGAAAAATTGCATTCGCCATCAAAAAAATACATGTGCTTCTCCTGGGGCACCGAATCATAATTGCATCGAAGGTGTTTGTCCAAAATCGTGTCTTGGCAAGGGAGTTTTCAAGCCACATCCCGATCTTAGGGCTGGTCGTTCAATGCCGAGTAGAAAAAAGAAATGATTTTGAAAAAAAAAATATTTTTGTATTTCTCAATAAATTGATTAAATTATCAACTTCTTTGCTTCAAAAATTTTTTCGGAAAAATTAGATATCAGATGATTAATTAATAATAATAAGCTATATCAGTAAATCTGGACAGTAATAAGCTACAGCGGGTCTGATTATGTTATTACAGCGTACAGCATTGATTCATATGTATGAATCTCATAGACTTAATATGTAAAACTTTTCAAGTTTTTAAAATCAAGTGAAGAAACCTGTTTATTTATAAACCCAATCTATTGTATTATTATATTATGTTTAGTCCATAACAATGTATTGACCATGTAACACCTCAATAATTTTACGATCAGTTATTAAAGCAGCCTCTTGTTCACACTTAATATGAAGCTAAAATAGTTTCTTTTGTATTTCCTTCAACAGTCTCATGCTGAGTTATTTATTGTTTACTGCGGTAACATTTTCATCTAATTGCTGAATGTTATGTATAGGTGACAGTTTATTCAGGTAACTGTTGAAACTACGTTTATATCAACTTTATCCAATTCTGTGTAGCTAAAAATATACTTTATCCTGACCAGATTAACAGAGATTACTAGACAATCAATTGAAGTCCATTGCAGTATGCGGATGAGCTGTGTTTTTTCAGTTGGTATTGACACGAAAAATGGAAACCATTTTCGTGTTGATTGAGCTTTGCGCATTTTATTTGCTAATCCAGTGAACCAACTATGAAACAAAATATAGTTATTATTGAGCTGAACAATGACGCAAATTGATTCCATTAGAAGAAGCCTAAAGTAAATGTTTCATGTTGATATAACCCACGACTATTCACTAATTTCACTTTATCCTGATCATCCGTAAGCTCACTACTCTCAATGTTAATGTTATTCAACAAGATGACAATCAGATTAAACCTTCAACCTTTCATTTAATTTCAATTTCTTGTGTTCAATTTTTTTCAAAATTAAATCAACTTCGCCTACACCAAAGGCATAAATTGGTCGATACAATTGTAAATCTGATGCTTAGTTCACCTTTAATTATCATGTAATTTAAAGTCAGCAAAAGTCTCTTCATGTAATTTGAAACTCAAATTGAAATGTTGGATTAAGCATAAAAAAACGCTTTTCATTGAGTTTCGTATTTGCTGCAATTCAATCTTGTTGAAATGTTCAAGTTAATCTCAACATCTTCAACTCGCCACATCCAACAACCATTAGGCTGATGGTTTCTCAGAATCAAAGGCTCAGGTTACATTTGAAATGAACAAATGAAAATCACTTTTAACTTGTTTGTACAAAATGTTAACATTTGAGCCAAAAAAGATTGTCATTCAATCAAATATATACTTTATGGGAAAAGAGTGAAATTTGGAGGAAAACATGAAAAGCCAATGATATCAACAATGGAACTGAATAAATGTTGATAATTATGATGAGCAAGATAAACATGAGTTAAACAAGTCAATGAATGTTCACTCAAAAGGATTGGAACAATTGGATTGATGAAAATGTCACAGAATATCGCATTTTCAAGTCAACCTTCCTTTTTGTAGTCTTTTGTGGATACACACAAAACATGGTTAATATCATCATCACAATCATCATTATGAACAACAGCAGAAGGAAGATGGAATAAATAATGATGATTCTGAACAAACATGATATCATCAACCTCATCTTGATCCAAGTTAAATCCTTGAACTGATCTTTGACGTCAATAATTTTTTTTGCATGTTTCAACTTTTTTGATTAGCTTGAATTGTTTGTTTATTTGATTGATTGATTCTCCATTTAACCCTATCGAGACAAGATGAAAGATGAGAGAAGCAAGAAATTAATTAAAAACAAATCAAGGGAAACCGTTTACTTTTAATATTATTTGACGGAACAAAAATTTCATCAAATTTTAACATTTCAATGTAATTTTCAGCTTTCAGCAAAAAGATGAGACTTTTCACTCCAAAACTGTTGCTAGAGAAACTGGAAACTGAGAAATCAAATGCGATGGCAAATATTTCAATCCATTTATTTACATTTCAACTTACATAGTTGAAACAACTGATTACATATTGAAAGTCATGAACCAGGATTTCATGAAAATATAATAGTGAATAACATCTTGATTTTGGACAATTTATATTTTATCAAACCATGAAGATTCCGGACTAAATGTCCTAAAGTTATCATTAAAAAAGTTGGACTTATGAAGGGAACAAATGAGTTTGGTGTAATTTTCAATGCATTGCTTATGGTTTGTAAAGTTAGATTTTTGAATGTATTTTTAATTGACTGTTTCTTCAGCTTTTAATTACGATTGTTGTTGGGTTATTATGGTTACAATGTGATCATTTTGTTGTTTTTCAATTTCGTCTTCAAGGCGAATAGATTTGTTTGTTTGTTTACATCTAAAAGAGCATTTTAAACATTGCTAATCTAGTTAATCAGCAATTAAATATTGAGTTTGTAACACTTGTGAGTCTGTTTGTACAAGATGCAGACTATGGGCTGTTTGACATGCTAAGAGGAGACACTCATTAGGTTGACATTATCTTGATGGTGACGTGGCTTTGAAGTGAAAAGTGTTGCTCATTAACTCATTGGTTGAGTTTTAAAGCTCACAAATTGTTTTATCATCAGTTTTCATCTTGATTATTATTTGGTTTACCTTCAACTCAATGTTTATCTTAATTAAATACACACAATTTTTACACACATTTATTAATTGTTATAAGTTGGGTTGCCAAAAAAGCAAATTTTGAACAACAAGGAAAACAACATCTCTTCGTATTCGTATGTTTTTGGGCTGGTTTAAGGAACAAAACACTAATTATCATTCTGGGAGTTTAGTTTTTATTATTATCAGAAGACTTATTTCGTCAAATAAGACTTCATGTTGATTGACGAACTTGTAACTGTCTTTAATTGATGCCGTTCAATGTTTCTGTTAGACATTGAAACTGTCATCTGAATATGATTGCACAAGGTTTACTTGTGACAATTTTGTTGAAATCAAAAAAGTTTCAACTGAATAGCAATTGGAAACAAGAGAAAACAAATTCAGAGCAAATTTTATCCCAATAATATTGTTAACACATTGTAAATGCTCGCGTATTGAACCGGCCCTAAATATAGCGCGGTAATCGCGGTTACTATGGGCCATAAAGACACGTGGGCCAGAGAGGTGCCGGGTGTTTATTTAATTCAGCTTTGCAGGGAAACATTAGCTTGATCTTGCCTGATATTTGTAAATTAATGAACAGTTTTGTTGACAACTCATGAATAAATGTGTGAGCAAAATCTGTACATTTTGAGCTAAATTTATTTGTATTCTGGAAATCACAAAATCCATTGAAATCCAACGACGAAGACCAACTTTTATTTCATCTTTTACGATTTGATTTCTTTTTATTGTTAACTACTACCCATTCATTTGAATCCTCCGTGTTTTTTGAGCTCACAGTATCAGCTGATTCTCCATCAGTTGAATTATTTGTTGAGTTTGATGTTTGACTGCTTGTCTCTTTGTTAGTATCTTCTGTTGAAAGAGCTATTTTTTCTAAACATGCATCAATCTCCTTTGTCTCTTTAGCTATGGCTTCTCTCTTTACTTCGGCCACTTTGCGACGCTCATCCATGATGGATTTCAGTCTATCTGATTGGCCGGCTGACCAAAGAGAATGATATTCCAGTAGTTTACTAATAAAAGTGTCCAATGATTTATCCATAGGAACAAAATCAAATTCATTGTCAACTATTGTTTCGATGTAATCATGGATTTCATATCGTAACTGGTCCATTGGTGTAATACGAAAATAATCAAACAAAACACCTCCCATCCATGTTAACTTCTCATCGGCATCGTGACCACCAGCTCCATAGACTTCTATCACATGTTTTAACTCTGTCCATTCTCCAATGGATTGATCGATCGCTGAATGAAATAGATTAGAGTCACTTTTACTATGAGACATTGTTATTAAATTATTAAACAATTTATCTTAAATAAAAAAAGTAAATAACAATAAAATCATTGGAAAACAAAAAATTTTCAAAATAGTATTTGTTTTAGGTTCACATATGTTTTGATGATGCAACCCAGCTGAGGGGTCATTCAATGATAAACTTCAAATTTTCTGAATGTCAACCTCAGTAATTATTTTATTTAATCCAATTGCCGGTATAACTATACAAATAATTTATAATTTTTCCATGAGCTAGCATAAGGTGATGAATTAAGTATTCATATAATTATTGGAAATTCAAACATTGCTTGTGTTGCATAGGAGATGATCCCTGTTATTCCCAAATTGAAACCACGAGGTTGCTGTGATGTTATTTATTAAATTATTTTTCTTTTAATTCAAAGTATTTATATCTTGATTAACCAAAGATAATTCCGGATTCAATTGATTCAACTGGGAGATAGTCTTTGTACACATTCATGTCATTTGAATCAGTGGATGAGCGTACTCAAGGATTGATTGAGGATGATTATTATACTTTACTCAACCTCGATCGCAATGTAAGTCAACTCTAATTTTTCATCTTTATCTGTCATTTGGACAATTGTATCAAAATAATTTTTGCTCGAAACTGACCTTTCTTCTCCCAAATCAATTTATTTTAATCCATTCTTTCTCTTTCTTTATGATCTGGTCTTTTCCCCGAATCTTATATTGCTGTTGGTTATCCCATATGATCAAATCGTTTGGCCACTCTTGTTAATTCCTTGACACTTGGACTACTTAAGGCAACCCCTGAAGAAATCAGAGACGCGTATAAAAAAGCTAGCAGAATATATCACCCGGATAAACACACTGACCCAGTCCTAAAGAAACAAGCAGAAATTTTATTCACTAAAACTAAAAAAGCGTATGAAGGTAAATAGAAAGAAATGTCATGTTTTTATCACTGTTAAAATGATTTCAGTCACTCAACTTTGGTCTGTCTAAATGTCTCATTATTTTTTATGCTATCTTTTCTAGTTCTGATTGACCCACATAAAAGAGCTATCTATGATGCACTTGGTGTTAAAGGATTAGAAACTGAAGGCTGGGAACTCGTCCAAAGAACTAAAACACCCTATGAAATTCGTGAAGAATTTGAAAGATTAGAAAGAGAGCGACAAGAGCGTCGATTACAACAAAGAGCCAATCCAAGAGGAAATATTACAATCGGAATAAATGCCACAGACTTATTTGAAAGCTATGATGATGAATATGAGGAAGATGATTACATTGAGGAAGGAGGCTTTTCTTTTCCAAATTTGGAAATCAGTTCAATGGAGATTGATCAATCTTTAGATGCACCTTTAACTACTAAAGATACCCTTTCTCTTACTGGAAATTTACAAAATAAAAATGGAATTGGTGGTGGAGCATTTGCTACATCACTTCGTCATGTATCCTCGCCAACATCTTGGAGTGAATATCAATTTACTGCTGGTCATGGGCCTCTGTTTGGAATTAAATGGTTTAGATATTTAACTAAGCGCTCATTTTGCACCATTACTGGATTATGTCACTATAAATCCGGTGAATTAACGCCAGGAATCGAAGTTGGTTAGTTTTATTCAATACATTATCACCCTTGCTGTTCAATATCAAATTTTGGTCTTGAAAATATTATTAATCCAAAATTTATTTCGTTTCTTTTCGATCAGTTTTGTATCGTCATCTTGATAAGAATCTCGAAGGATTCGTGACTTGGAAATTTGGGTTAGAAAGCTGTGTCAATACCACTGTTGTTTGGAAAAACTCTAAACATGCCGTAATCAGTCGAATCCAAGTGAGTCCAATCAGATTAAGCTAGGCCTGTTGCACTTTTCTAACATACTGATTCTTTTGTTTCATGCTACTGTTTCAGTTTGGAATTCCTAATACATTTATTTCGATGAGCTATACTCGCAATTTACCTTTCAACGATACTAAAATCAAATGTGGAATCAAGTAAGTATTGAAGATAAAAGTTTTTGAATAGATTAACTTAATAAAGTTTCTGTATTATTTTTTTACAGAGGAGGATTTTTCGGTGCTATCGTTGAATATGGTTGGGAAACAAGAATATCTCAACATTCAATAGCCGGTACTACAATGTCCATTGGAACAACCTCTGGTGTTTCTTGTAAACTAAGGTAAAGGATCATCCATATCCCTCACAAGGGAACCTCGCTAACTGTTAATCGGTGAATTACATGAAACATAACGCATCGTAGAGCGTTATTGGTAATGAAAAAGAGTCTCTGAGAGAGAGATTTTCTGCGCAACTTCCATTGTCGTTACAATGAACTATCAAAGTTCGACAACTGTATTATCATTTATACAGTTAGAAGTCCATTAGAATTACTAGACCGAGTGAATTCAATGAATCCAAATCATGTTTGTGATAGTTCACAAAGTTCGCCGATTGACAGTTCGCGAGGCTCCTTATCAAACAACATTGAAAATTTTCATTTAGTTAATTTATTTCTATTATTTTCATTTCAGACTGAAGCGAGCAAATCAAACTTATACTTTTTCCATTCTCCTTTCGGAAATTATTATACCGTCACCTATTTTCTATGGAACTCTTGTACCCATAGCTGCCTATTTTTGTGCCAAGTCTATTGTGATAGATCCTTACAATGAAGCTGAAAAGGAAAAAGAACTGAGAAAAGCGAAACAAGAAAATGCTGTTGAACTGATTGTGCGGAAAAGGGAAGCCGAAGCAGCAATTGCGCTCATGTCCGAAACGTATTATAGAAATGTTAATTCTGAAAAGGCTAAATCGGGATTAATTATAGAGAAAGCAATTTACGGTTCCATCAAAACTATCTCAATCATTCTTGAGAATCCTTCTGAGGAATCGTCACCAAGTCAATTAGATGGTATTCACGATGTAACGATACCTACACAGTGTCTCGTTCAAAACAGTAATTTAATACTACATAGTGCGTCTAAGGTTAGTTTCACGGTTCTCTATCCATCAATGACAAAGAGATCTTGTTTGAACAGATTGTCTTTTAAACGACTCAATTTTGATTATGCCGCCAACTCCTGTGCGACAATGCAAAAATTATCGATAATCTACATTCAATCAAAACCTCTTACTTTTGTATTGTTTTAGATCGATATGATCTAAGATTAAGAAGAGTACCTCCTCTACATTATAATTTTTTACCACATGTCATCAGCAACTATTGTTCGCTATTCTAAAATATTTTCTGTATTTTACTTTATTCACAGTCTAATCTTCCTGGATTTTACGATCCATGTTTTGGCGAAGATAAAGGATTATTAATTAGATATAAATTTAAAAATGATGATCATCTAATCGTAATTAATGATGATGAAAAACTAAAAATTCCATCTCAAAGTAAGTACATTTTTCTGTGGACATATTACACGTGTGTTTGTCTATATTTTATATTTGATAACTTAATTGTTAATCCGTAACTCTAATTTCAGATCATAATGTTAGAAGCAATTTTTAATGCCTGTTGTGTTCAATATTCTTGGATCGGTATAACCCGTGCCACTCAACCAAGCTTCTTATTTCTGTGAATGTCTCCTTTTTGGAGGACAAAACAACGAAAAACCTTCTTCGTTCGTTCAATTTTTAACATCAAACCATGGTAAATATCTATTAAATAGAACAGCTCAAGTACAAATCTGCAAAGATATCAATTTCTCTTTTTTCAATCTTTGTGTTAAGATGCGAGTTAGATGTGAATTGTAGACAAACGATACTAAATACAATGCAAATTTTTAGTGAACTCATTTAGAAGGAAACTAAGACCAATTTTTGTATGATTGTACATTGAAACGACTATTAAAAATTGTAGCAAAACATTAAAAATGCTAAGCTGAAGTTTCAAGTTTGAACTTTTCACTTAGCAACTTCACAGTTTATGAATTTTTTTGTCTGATTTAGTCTTTGGAATCTATCCGTCAATTTTTATGATATTTACGGAAATTTTGTTTATTTTTTTCTGACCATTCGATTACTAAAAATTAGCTTAGATATTTCAATAGTCATAATAGTTATTGAATGAAGAAATCAAGAATTAGAGTGAAGTTAATAGACTTTTATCAGTCTATTTTTGCAGGGAGGTGAATTTTCGCTTGTTGCAAATAGATTTTTAATATCTTATTTATAATTCTTTATTATTTTATGGGTATTTTATTTTTAGGCGTTCATATTTGACATATAAACGTATTTTTTGATTAAATATTAAGACACCAAGGTACACTTTTAAGCAAACAAAAACATCTTTTGCACTATTTTCCTTTCATTCCACTTTACTCATATTCAAACTGGTTGATAGTTCACGCAATATGATAAAATCAATGTAATTTGATGAACAAAAGTGCAAGAGAAAAACCATTTAGAGCATCATCGTGACATTACAATTTCTTTTTTATAAATCAACCATAAATTATAACTTATTAAAATTTTTCATTGAGTTGGCAGCTTTTCGAGTGGATAAATTGAAGTCGATAATAATCATAATTTACGCTTTTTCGTTCCAAATTATGTCAACAATTCAACAAACATCTTTTACGGGCATAAAGAATATACATTGGAAAAGGATTATTTAGATAACGTCCAATATGACCAGACCATATTGACAATTAGTCCTTCAATCATCCTCTTCCTCTTCTTCTTCTTCTTCTTCCTCTTCTTCCTCTTCCTCCTCTTCATCGGGTTCCTCGTGAGTTTGAGGTGGCTCGTATCTTGGATTTGATTTAGGTGGTGAAGGTTCTGGAGCAGAGTAGGGTTTGAATGTATCCTAGAGATGAAAAAGTAAATTTGCCCAATTAGTATGAATTATTATGTCATGGATTTCAAATAATGAACAGAAAGAAGAATTGAAACTCACCATAACATCAAAATCATCAGTATCGTCGTAGGTTCTTGTTCCGGGCTCATAAGTTTCCTTGTTTTTGGGATTAGTTGGGTCCCATCTCATCAATTTAGGTGATCCTCGTTCTTTATAATCTTTGATTCTTTCTTCCCAAGATTTTTCAAGTTGTTGTTTATATAATTCTTCCCATCCCTAGTAAAACAATCAATGTACATGATAAAATTAAGACTCAAATAATGAAAAATTAAACAAATAAAAGCATGTACTTACACCATCGAAAAGAGCTTTTTTATCTTCAAAAGTGTACCGATCAACTCGTCTTTCATATTTGCTGGCAACATTAATCTTTGGAGGATATTTACCAGTAAATGCTCTGTAAAATTGAAAAAATAATTATAACGATGAGGATAAATTCAAATACATTGTAGATGGTTTGTAGCAAGAATGTAGATACTTACTCAGGATCCAAACCTTTCTTCAGAGCCTTATTCCTATTGATTTGGCGTTGACGCTCATTCAATTCTTTCAACTAAAGATTAGTATAAATAGTTAAAACAAATCATTAGCATGGTTAACTTAAGTTACCAATCAGCTGACCAGCTACTTACATCATAATCTTGTCTCTTTCGTCGCTCTTCAAGATCATATTTGTCACTCTCTAGTTGAATTATTTGTTCCCAAAGTTCAGCTGCTTTCTTTCGAAGCTCATCTTCATCCATATTATCAATCTTGAGTGGTTTAACTCTCAATCCGAGAGCAATTATTTTCTCTTCAGCCAATTGCTCCTTAGTTTTGTTTAACTCAGCTCGAGCAAAAGCTACATTTGAAAACTGTTGATCAAAGATGAAAAACAAACAAACAAATTGAAAAGGTTAATAAAAACAATGTATCATTCAGAATTGACTTACCTTGTCTTGATCTCGCCCTTGAGCTGTTGAACCTTCCTTCTTGCTGATGACATAATTTGGTTTAACCGCTTCCTTCTGCTTTTGCATAGCTTGAGCCATTGCCTGTCTTTTGCGTTCAGCTTCCTCCAATCGCTTACGCTTAGCCTCAGCTTCACGATTCTTCTTCTCTTCCTGAAAATCATTATTCAATCAAAATAAAATATCAGACACATATCACAATTTTAAATCACTTAGAAGAACAATGAGAATTAATATCACAATCCAACAATTTCATTTATATTTGTACTAAAGAAATAAAATGTAAATGTTTATCTTTAATTTTCCAATGTAACAAAATTATTTACACTTTTCCCTCGAGTTTTTTGTATTTTTGTTATGCTGCCATCTAGAGTAACTAGAGGGGGAAATCACAAATTTTACAATTGAAACAATTAAAAACTTTAATGACTCCCCCTTGCCTCACTTATCCCCTTTTTTATTCTTTTCCCCATAAGGGGAGTCACTAGAGTAAGCTTATTGTTTCAATTGAAATTGGGAACTTACGCCCGTGGTGCTCCGGGTGGTGGCTGGAGAAGATGCTTCAGAC